GAGTTCAGCCAAGCGTTACAAAAGTTCATTTTGATTTCAATTGGCTACGAAATTCGAATTTCACTGGAAGGTTTTGTTTGAAAAACCGAATTTGACAAAAACTGAGCACATAAATTTTTACTGCCAAAAAAAGGGTTTATAAATATGTCAAAACAACTAAATAATTTCGTGTGAAGTCAAGACAAAAACAAAATAAAAAAAAGGCGGATGCGGTTTTAGGGAACTGCATTCCGATTGGGATTTGCTGCCGGGTTCTTCTGCTGGAAAAGGGGCTCGATTTTGTACTGATGATTTTCTAACGGGCATTTTAGCAAGTAATGTTCAGGTTTTCCCGTGACGGGACTTCTTCCTTCGGCGACAAAATTAGCCATCTCATCGCTTCTATACTCCTCCTCGACTTGATTGCGGTAAAAGTCACTCTGAACTTTGTTGTTGAGAAACCATTTTCGTGCGGGAATTACCGTAATGATGGTGTAGCCTGGATTGCCGCCGGGTTCACCGAATCTACCCAAGCTAGTCGGAATCGGCAGGTAGAACGACCATGAAAAACAAGAACCAGGACTGGCAAATGTTCAATGGCAACTCTACAACGGGTGGTCAGAGGAGTCAATTTGACGCGTTTGCCTGGAAAGTTTGCCAGTTTTTGGGTCACGGTTTTGCGGTCTGAGTTTAAGCCAAATAAAAAAAACTTACGAAATTGGTTGAGGACTTCGGGATGGGGTGGTCGTGGAACGACAGACGTCGAAAATTGTGAATGGACTAGTTCTCTGCCCCGAGCGTGGAATCTGAGTTGGCGAAACCGCTGGTCTTTCGACGCCGTCGAGACGATCCTATAATCAGCAGCACATTGAAATTTTTTTTTTTCCATTCTCTCACTGACCAACGCCGTAATGACATCTGCTCGACTCATTTGATGTTTTTTCATTAGCGCCCGAAGCGCTTGTAGTTGCAGGAGTGCCGTGCCTGTTGGAGGAATCGGATCGGATAGTTTTGCAATTTCGAATTTTCTCTGCTCTTCTAATTCTTGTCGCACAACGCGAAAATTTTCTCTGCTCTTCTAATTCTTGTCGCACAACGCGAAAAAGTTCGGTTTCAGTCAGCTTCGGCGAATCCGGTTGCTAAATCGTCGATAGAGAAATACGCGAAATGTTTCCAAAAAAAACTTGCCTTGAACGTGCTACACGTGTTCGCTGCTTCTGCTTGTCTGTTAGCTTCGTCGGCAGTGTGCACGCCATCTTCGCTACCATGGCCCTGCTGAAAGAAGCAGTCAAACGGTGAAAAAGCAACAACAATGACGAACGCTTTTTGATGTTGTCGTCTCGCTGACCGGAGAAGCAGCAGTGGAAGATGTAGTCGATACGACGTTGAATGGCGAAACCCGTGAGTTGTGCTCCTTGTCGTCATCGTCGTGGTCGTCGTGGTCGTCGTATTTTTCTTTAGGCTCGTTAGGCGGCGAAGCCGCAGACTCTTCTACCAGGTCAGCAACCCGAGCGACACCTTGCTGTCGTGCGGCAGACGGCTGCAAACGATAGTGGTTTTTGGGTTCTTAAGTAGTAATTACCTGTGCGGACTTGCTGATAGGGACGAGATCGTCGAACACGTCGCACGAACCATCAGATTTGACAGCCGGACTGGGAAGAGCGCTCGCTGGAAGTCCGGACAGAGCCACGGTTGGGGTCGTAAGCGGTGCCAGTGATTTGTTCGACTTCTTGTACATTACGCTCCTGAAAGAGATTTGGGTGAGTCTTGAAAACTTACTGAGCAGGGCAGCAAAAGAAGCAGGAGTGGGGAGAAGGCAGAGCAGGAAGCAGGTGGAGAG